CCCCGCGTCCTGAGGGAGGCGGCTCAGCGGCCCCGGCCCCGCGGCGCCTCGCGCCGATCCCCGCGCTGCCGCCATGCCGTGGCCCTTCTCGGAGTCCATCAAGAAGAGGGCCTGCAGGTACCTGCTGCAGCGCTACCTCGGCCACTTCCTGCAGGAGAAGCTCAGCCTGGAACAGCTCAGCCTCGATCTCTACCAGGGCACCGGCTCCTTGACGCAGGTCCCGCTGGACAAGTGGGTAAGAGACGCGGGCGCTGCCCCTTCCCGCGGCGGGGGCTGCCGCCTGCCCTGTTCTCCCCGCCCGACCTCCTCCATGGAAAAAGGTTAAACCCCTAATCAGCATTTTATCCAGGTCACCCTTCCCTGCTAGGTGAGCACAGTGAAAAATTGACACGGGCCATTTATTGCAAAGACAAAAATAATCTTTTGGATTTTGTTTTCATTTGGATTTTGTTGTTTTTAATTCTGAGAAATACAAGAAAAATTGGAAAGGAAAATTGTCTGTTGCCCTTTAACTAAAAAGTAAGAATTACTGGCATGGCATAGAGAAGAAAGAGCTGCTCCTGGCCAGAAATAGCCACTGTAGTACCTAGGAAGCGTGTTTACTACCAGCTGCTAGAGATGACAAAAGCATAAAGTTTTCCCTGCTCTGAATACATTCAGGCTTCAGCCTAGAGCAACCTTGACTCTTCTGGATAGTGCTATGCTAAATGTGGCTCACGTAGACTTCTGAATGTGGAAGTGCTTGTTGGCAAGAAGCAGAAACTTGCAGCTTAGCTGGAGTTTGCGTAGCAGCTGGGCTGTCACATTTTGAACCATTTGAAGCTTTTTCAGTCCCAATCTGTATGTTATGTATTTGTACGTGTGTGTATGTACATGTATATGTAGATATATATATATAGGTAGTCTGCTATATAAAGCTAAGGTGCTGTGTCTATGCTTGTAAGTATTTTGTAAGGTTTCCTGGCAGAATTACCCATGTTACTGAATTCTCCCTGCTATGCGAGCTACAGTCATAGGGAGCCATACGTACTGTGTGTCACTCATTGACTCCCAGGGTAGCTGAGATGATTAACTAGCTGTACAACCTCACTGCTTTACAGGTGTTTTTTATTGTACTATATTCTGGTATAAGACTATGCAGGATAGATTAAAAAATACATGTGAATATCTGATATTTACAAATAATGCTTTGCCAGTTGTTTCTTTGCAAGTGTGTTTGAGAGTGACAGTAGAAAAATATTTGCAGAAATTCTCATTATTGTATGTCCATGTTTTTCAGGCTCTGCAGCTTATTTTGTATAGGAAGAGAGAAAGGCTGTTATACTTAACAGAATTGCAATGCCCTCTAGTGGAACTCAGCGATTTTTCTCTAAACAAACTGGCATGATTTAAAAAGTAAACACTCTGAAATAGCAGCAGTAATAAACAGTACTAGATGAAGTTAAATATGTATACTTGGTGATTAAATGTATATGCAGTACTGGGTAGGATACCTTCCCCATTTGGAGATCACTGGCTTGTAAACAGTGCACGGTGTATTGGTGGCTCTGTGCACGTGACGTTCTCACGTATGACTGATTGCAAAAGCAGATGTGGCAGAAGTATGGAAGTATTGCAGCTCTTTTTTTTTTTTTTTTTTTCCTAGTCATTGTCAGCTTGTTCTACATTAATCACCAGAGTGACTGTAGTTATGCATGTTATCTTATCCATTCTGTGGATACTTTGTTCATTGGAGTATCCTAGATATTCTAGCCAGTGTTGTCTGTGTGTTTGCAGATTGTAGAGATACCTTAATGGCCTCAAGTATTCTCAAGTAACCTCTTGGTCTCCTGACACCTGAGCTATTTAGAAAAACAACCCAAAATCTAACTTAGGATATGGGTGGTTGAATTTGAATGTACATAAAATAGTACTGTGGTTACTATTGATAATATTACTGTGATTCCAGCTGGAGACTTTCAGTCAAAGATGTGGGAACAAGTCCTGATGTGAAGATAGAACCTCAGTTTTAACATTTAATTTAGAATGCACTAATCTTTCCTTTGAGGAACAGTAGGATTGTTTATGAATGAATTTTGCTATAAAACATTTGAAATTTCTGATTTTTTACGGTAATTTTTATTTTGAAATAAAAAGAAATATAGTAGTTCAATTTCTATGTATTTTGGTAGCAAAAAGAGGGCAGATTTATTCAAAATCAGTTTTTGATAATTAACTTCCTTTTAATGAAAATGCATCTAAAGTACTTTAAATAACTATATGGTATTTTCAAATATTCCGGTTTACTTGCTGTACCCTTTTTTGGTCTTGTCAGATACTATTACCATCTCTGTAATTATAACTGGAGACAGAATATTTTCATTTACCTCGTTTCCTAAAATACTCTTGTTTATTTTCTTTTAAAATGATTCTTTATAATTATAGTAAATTAAAAAAAATTATAAGTGACTTTTAAAAAATACCAATTTAAAAGTTATTTTACACTTTCGTTGTTGAATTGGAGTGTTTAGAGTGTTCCTATAATCAAAATGGTAAAGTCAAAACTATACTTGTTTGCTTATTGAGCCCTGGGTTCTAACCTGCTTGAACGCAGTCCTGTGCCACGTGCTTAGGTGACTCTGCGTGTGCAGGGGGGTTGGACGAAATGATCTCTAGAGGTCCCTTCCAACCCTAAGCATTCTATGATTCTAATATTAAAGTCACAGTCATGATCAGGGTCTTATCTACACTTGCCAAATTTGGTGTGTGGTTGAGATTGATTTTATGTTGTTTGAGCAGCATAGGAAGTTCTTACTTAGTTGAAATTAAAAGTACTGAACTTCTGGTTAGGAACACAAATTACGTTTTTTTATTTTTTTTCAAGTGTATAATCATTTAATAGGAAGAATATGTTTGCTTGTAAAACTGTTGCTTGTACAGTATTCCATTTTGCTCATCCATCTCACTTCATACCGTGTGTTTCCTGGAGCAGTGTGATTGTCTGTAGCTTGGTTTATAATGTTACTGTAAAGAGTCCTAATAAAGGAACAGTGTCTATAGACTACTGGTCAGGCAACTGGATTCTGATTCTTACTTTTTCTTAATAACACTTAACGTTACTTTGAAGTCATTAAAATCTGATTTAGAAATGGCATGCATGAAGTACAGTGAAAATGGATTTTTCTGGTTCCGTTGTCAGAGAAATGTGATACGAGGATTACATTACATCCAGTGAAATACTTTTTGCATCTTTACTGTCAGCTGTTTTTCAACTTTCTTCAAGAATTACCAGGAAAAGAATATATTAACTTGTGTTGCTGTTGCAGTATATATTAAAGTAACATAATAGGATTTGATATATTGTAAAAGAACAGAATATTCAGCTATCCACATGTTAATCTGTATCATATTAAAAGCTCAGTAATTAGTATGACCAAATTATGACAGAATCAAAATACTGAGAAATTTATTGGCTAATTTATTGGTTCTCTTATATGTAATTACTTTTCTGATATACTCCATATGTTGATTGGTTATTATAGTACTCAGAATAATGAAAGTGACTTTTTTGATTCGCTTCTTTTAGTGTCTGAATGAAATCCTGGAGTCTGTAGATGCGCCTCTGGAAGTCACAGATGGCTTTATCCAGTCAATTTCATTATCTGTTCCATGGGGGTCCTTGCTGCAAGATAACTGTGCATTGGAAGTAAAAGGATTAGAGATGGTCTTCAGGCCAAGACCAAGACTTGGTATGCTTATTTTTTCATTTTCCACATGGTGATTTTTTTTTTTTTTTACAGTTTTTCAAAAGCAAAAGGCTCCGCTTGCCTTAGATACTGCTTCTGCATTATTTAAAGCATCTTTTAACTTACATGCATTAGCAACAGAAGATAATGTTGTTCTATTAAATAACTTCAGAAGTTTATTTAAAAAAATATATAGTAGTACTATAACTCTTACTCCAAACCATTTGGGACACACAGAAGTTAAAATAATGCTTTAAAGTTTTGTGTGGAAGGAAATTTTTGTTAGCCACGTCCTGTGGGTATAGAATGCCAAATGCTGTTCAGTCAGTGCTAGTAGCTGTGCACCTTGCTGTGCTGTAGGATAACACGATAGTTTGAGATTTTGCAGGGAGTTGTAGTGAGGTTTTGGCTTTCTTCAGCAGCATTAGAGTAAAAGGTACACCTTTTTGTATATTTGGACAATATCAAATGCATTTTGTTTCCCCCTGTGTTATAATGATGGCTTTTAAGTATTGTAAATGCTAAGTACAGTAAATCTTTGATAACAATGTTGAAAGGGTTATCAGATCTCTTCTAGCTTGCTTGTGTCCATATAATGCTGATCTACAGTAGACTGTCCTTGTAATTAAATTTTCACTATCAAAGTTTGAGGTATTCTGTTAACATTTGTTATTATATAACATATGGGACCTTTAGTTATTCTTCAGTGGGTGGAAATTTTTGAATATATGTCTGAAGGTCTTAGATTTGCTTTTTTTATGGTGTAGAGATAGTGTAAGAAAATATTTTGGTTTTAATACAGTATAAAGATGTGAAAAACTGCATAAATCCCAGAATCCTTCATCTTTCAAGTAACTTTTAAGCAGTTTTAATAAAATCACAGTGGATTATTCTTGCTGTTAACTATATAAACCTGACCTCTACCATTTAACTGAGACATCAAGATATAAAACTGTAAGTCTAGACCAGAATTTAAGTTAAGGTGGTAGACTGCTTTAAAAATCATGCCGAAACAAAGCCTGTTCTTTTTAACGTGTTGTGTTCTCATGTTGTTAATGAATTGTTTTGAAAGTTATTAGCTCATGTCTGTGTTAGATATTTAAAACGTATATTACTTAAGATCTAAGTTAGATCTAGGTTAGATTCAGTATGATTACATCTTACAACTTGCTTAATCTTTCGCGGTTTGTAACACACCTCAGAATAACTTTCTTGAAAGTTGTTTATTTGATTTTGATTTTGTCTGGAAAATCCTTCTGGTACAATTAAAGTATCTTTAGAAATGGATTAATTAAAGCCTTTAAGCCCTTCATTTAAGTGCTGAAGGCTGGGTATGCTTAACCCTGCTTTAATTTTGTTTGTACTGAGTTTTCAAATATCAGAATCTTATCCATACAGTCTTAGCAGATTAGAACTATTTCATAAGAGTTGAGTCCATAAAGAGATTATGCGAGTATATTGATACATTTGATTTCTTATTTAACTGTTTAAACTATTTTCTAAATGTGCCAAATGTATAATAATATTTGGTAGGTTTTTTTTTTTTTTTGATGCTCCCAGTCAAATGTGTTAAGACTTCTCTTGCTCTACAGCATCTGGCTCTGAGCCTATGTACTGGTCAAGTTTTATGACGAGTAGTATGCAACTTGCAAAAGAGTGTCTTAGCCAAAAATTGACGGATGAACAAGGAGAAGGGTCCCAGCCTTTTGAAGGACTTGAGAAATTTGCAGAAACTATTGAAACAGGTATGAGTTTATTGTGCAAGCTTGAAAGAACGTTTTAAATTAAACCTGATATAATGTGCTTGAATCTTACAAAATTGGATGCCATTTGCCATTACTTCTCTCAAAATTTTTCATTTGTTCAAAATGCCTTGTAAAATTTAAATAGGAAGGCAGGATAATTGTTCCTGTTTTCAAAGGGGGGAAAAAGCCCAAATAATATAAAAATAGGTATATTCTTTCCTCAGTTGAAAGGAATGAACCTGTCTTTGGAATCAAATGGACGTATGTTTTCACCAGAAGAAATCCAGATGCATCTGCGTTTGAATGGTTAGCAAGATGCTATAGTTTCGAGTCTGCCAATTTAGTTCATCACATAAGCTTAAACTGTTCTTATTGGTGCTGCTGCTGAGAGCAAGACAGACAAAACTGGTGTTACAAGTGTTTCTTAATAATTGCAATATATTAGATTCACTTCACCAACTCCATGTTGTTTTGTTTAATTTAAGTGGAATAAACAAAAGGCTCAGTACCACATGAGGTGGTAGGGAGCATAGTGCTGAGATACCTAACCTTATGAAAATATTTAAAATTAGATCTGGAAATAGAAGTAGACAGTCAAAGCTACACCAAGTTTATGAACTTGGATATGGTGAGGCAGCGAAGCAGGTATTTTCTCTGATCATTTTCTCTGATGCAGCTATATAAACAATCTAAGCATGTATCCATGCACAAAAGCTCCACTGAATCGTATGGATATACGTAGACGTCTAATAGCCACTTACATTGTCACTTGAAGTCTTGTTATGCTACTTTAAATGTTTCTTAATACTGAACATAAATTTCCACTGAAATAAATACTGATATCTCCCCCAGTAGAAAACAATCTTTCATTTTGTTTATAAAAGTTATGACTGAGCAACTTAACTGTTTTCTCATTTAAGTTCTAAGAAGAGTGAAAGTTACGTTTTTAGATACTGTTCTGCGAATTGAACATGTGCCGGAAAACTCTAAAAGTGGAAGTGCACTTGAAATCCGAGTAGAAAGGTAATTTTCTTTTTTAATTTTTTTTTTCAGAATTGTCTTTCTTCCGCTTTGTGTGCAATATATATTATATCACGAATATGCATGTTTATATAATTAGACTCTAAATCTTGAACATCCCTCTTTGAGACCTCCTTTTCTTATGATGCCAGTGAACACTCTCTCCCTTTAATTTCTGCTTAAAAAGTTTAAGCTAAATATATTTAATCATCAGATTATTCAGAAGAGTTCTAGATTTTTCCAAAGATGAATAAATACAAATTCTCAAATATTCAAATGCCAATGGATATTATTGTAAAATCAGACCACCCCCTAACTGATAAGACATTTAATATATTAGAAATTCATCTGGTACATATTGAATATACTTGAACAGTCCTGTAAAGACGTAAGGTTTTAGGTCTTCTGTGAGCTTCCAGAAGAGTCTACCTATATGCCATGAATACTTTGAAAATCATCACTGTTAAATGGCATGTTATTAAAGTATGCCTTTGGCCAATGGGATAGTGTAAACTTTTGTTTTCAATATGCAATGGGTAAATAAAACTGATTATTACTGAGCAATACTAATGAAATATATTTGTTTTTAATCAAGCATTTATACAGTTGAAGCTCTGTGTTTAGGAGGGATGTCAGGAAGACTATTAATTTTCTTATTGAAATCCCTTGCCAAAACCTTTTTCCCTTTCTGTGTTTTCTAAAACTAGCTGTTAAATAGCATGTTGCTTTTCAGATGTTTGATATATTTTATTTATGGAAAAGTAGTTGTGTTTTCTTCCTGTAAGTCTTATAATGTGGAGACTTGATTCTTTTTCAGACTTAACTGTTTCTGCTGTTCATCAGTGTTTTAATGTGAAAATCTCTCAATTCAATACAGGGTTATCTTGAAGTGGTGCTTTTAAGCAGGGCAGACTTTCCAAAAACTTACGTTCTGCAGCAAGAGTTGTATACGTCCTAATGGAAACATGAATAGTAGTGTAGGTCAGACTCCTTCACTTCATGATCAAATTAGACATAAGTGCTAGGGTGTATTCACACTGGAGACGTGTTGCAATTGTCGTATGACATCCTGTGGAAAAAGGACAAGATTTCCAGACATTCCCAGAATATGCGCAGCCCCATTCCCATTCTTTCTGGACATTCAGTGGCACTGTAAATAGTCTAAAGGAAAAGAACATGTAAACCTTAGATCAGAAGCCAAGTGTCACAATAAATGTAAAAATTTACATGCTGTTCCTATCATCTTCATTTCCTTTTGCCTCCCAGAACGATATACTGTGACGAAACTGCAGATGAATGCTCTGGAATTAACGTGCATCAGCCCACAGCCTTTGCTCATAAGTTGCTTCATCTCTCAGGTGTCTCTCTCTTCTGGGATGAGTTTCCTGCATCAACAAAGTCCTCCCCAGTCTGCTCAGCTACACAGCTGGTAAAATGAAATATGTTATGTATGACTGTAAAGTGATCAGTGATAAAATGTATTGTTACACACATATACTAGACTCAGTGTGAAAGATACAGGAATTGAACTTACTAGATCTGTGTTGATTTTTTTTTTTTTAATAATTCCTGTTGATTTTGAGGAGAGGGAAAGAAATGGTGACTTTAGGACTGAGCCAAACTTAAGATGGAATCTGGTTGCAACTTGAGCGTGTAGAAGTCCTTTCTACTTTAATATTCTGTGGAAACTGCATCCCTTTTTTGCAAAGTCCTGATGCTTCATATTGCAGGTGCTTTGCTTCTTTCATGGTTATCAATCTGTTTCTCATTCAAATGCTTCAAATTTATATTTGAGTAAAACTAATTTCTGTGATAAACTTATTTGAAATGTATATTTTAGGTTTCTTGGCGAGAATTGGATGTGTTCTTATTCCTTTCTCCTTAACATTTTAAGGCAACTGAACCAAAGCTTTCACCTAGCTGGAACCCAAAAATCACTTATGAGCCACATCCACAATTAACACGGAGCTTGCCAGAAATTACTCCCTCTGACCCTGTACAGATCAGTAAGCTGACTGGTAGAATGGAGTTGAGCCTAACATTAAAGCAAAATGAAGTACTTCCTGGAGCAAAGGTTAGTCATCCTTTCCTGGTCCTTAGCTAAATTGATATAGTCATGTAGGATTTTTTGTTTTTGTTTTTACTGTGTAAAAAGAGCTGTAAGATTCTTAAAGGGACAGACGTTTTGTTATTAAGTTTCCTAATTTTATATGAAAAGTAAAAATTCTGTGCATTCAAAAGCTATATATATAAAGACATCTTTACACTGTACAAGATTATGAGATTCCCAGGAAATAGCACAAAATATTAACAGAACAAATTGGTATGCTCTTTTCCTACAAGTACCTTATGGACAGAGGATTTTCATATTTATAAATAAATGAACAAGTTTTAGATCTCGAAACTAAACTATGTGGGAACTCCTTTGAATACAACATGTGTTTAAGTATGTAAACCACAAAAGACAAGAGTATTCATGTCAAGTATGAAAAACTTATGTTTTTATTTTTCCACCTTTCTTAAGGAAAGGAAAAGATGGGAGGAAACAATATGCACATAACTAATAGAGCATTTACTTTTTTTGTTGGCTTGTTTTTGGTAAACATTCCCCTAAAATCTGTATAGGCAAAAGCTAGTTTTCATATAAATGCATTCCCTGGCATGTCTGTTTTTCACGAGTGATAATTATGAATGGATAAACATCTGGGCATACAGGACTCTGCTGTTGAAAATCAAATCTATTCAAGTCCTTAAGATAAATGTAACTTAAACTGCTTTTAAAGGAAGAAAAGTGGTTTCCTTTTTTTAATATATCATATTAAAATTCTATAAACATTCCACTGTTTAAAAAGAAGGATTATGGCTGTATTAATCTGTCTACTAAAGAGAATACTCTGAAGAGAATTTTTGCAAATTGTAAGGCCTCCTTCAGAGGGTATCAGTTTCAGGATTTTATATTTAGTTCATAATGCTGACTTCATACTGTTACTTACTTCTGGAATTATTAAAGAAGCAAAACTGTTAGCAGTGTAGTGGCCATCTGCAGTTTTCCTTTTAGGCACCTATGTATTAGTATGAGCAAGTAAACTGTTAGTGCTACATGTGCAATTACTCTGACAAGCCACCAAAATCTCCAAGTTCGAAGCAGTATGCACTTAAATTTCAAGCTCTTGTCACTTAGAAGAAGGTAATGACATTGCTCTGTATCCTTAAGAACACAAAATCTGTAGTTTGTGTAAAGGAAGCATAGAGCAGATAACAGAAACAGTTAAAGGAAACACTGGGCATTCAGCTGTCTTACACCAGTGAAGCTGTACACCAGCAGTTAGTTGTTGTTTGGAGAGTTTTAAAGAGAATTTCTATAATTGTTGATGAAAATAACATATTATTTTATTTTTATTTTCAAGTTGGATGTAGATGGACAAATAGATTCCATGCATCTATTTCTGTCGCCAAGGCAGGTACATCTTCTATTGGACATGGTAGCAGCTATTGCTGGACCAGGCAAGTGCATGTTCTCTAAATGTTAAATAAGTACTTAGCTGATCTGCAAAGGAAATTTGCAGGCAAACAAGTTTTTTGAAAGAAAAAAAAAGTTGTAGTAAACTTAGTAAACTTACTATTTATTTAGATCTGCTTCTAGCAAAACATTTTGCAACTCCTCTCATTTGACTGTAAATCACTTACTGGTTTCATTTGCACACTATAAATGTTTGTAATGAAAACCTAGGTAATAAAAAGGTTTGGAAAGTAAACATAGAATAGGGCAAGATTTGGGGAAAATGAAGAAAGGGAAGTTGGCGAAGGTCAGGAGGCCAAAACAGTTTTGGTTCTCATAGCTTCTGTTGGCCAGAGGCCTAGCTGTCTAGTCAGGATGAGATACAGTTTTTCTAGTTACTTAGTGTAATAGCACTCATTATTTGGGTACCTAGTTGATACTTTCAGAAAATATTTGTCATATTCTAAAGTAGTTGCTTGATACTCTTCTAATGTTGCAAATTTATTTATCAATTTTATTGTTTTTTATGTAACTGGAAGAGAGTTAAAACATTATCCAATATTGTGTCATGTTGGAGCCTGGAATTTTAGTAATTTCTTATTAGAAACAGCTTCTTGAAGTGGTGTCCACTAGTCTATAATGTCAGCCTAGAAGAGAAATATATGCTGATACCATTTATAAACACATGTGCATAGATGACCTTAAAAGTTTCTCCTGAGGCTTGGAAGTACTGTTAAAGAGAGAATAATCTCCAAAACAGCAAAGGAAGTGGCTATATATACACCATACTCATGTACTTTTTTATTTTTAAAACTATATTTTAGATTAGATTGTAGATTGTTAGGTTATATTTTAGATTCATTGTTGAATTTACATGAGATATTGGTAAAGAAATAATAGAGGGTTTTATCTCTCTCTCTTTTTGTAATTCAGAGAGCCTAAGCAGGATAGAACTGTCAAATAAAGACAGGAAAAACCGACCAATGCAACAGGAAGATGAGTATCGGATTCAGATGGAGTTGAAACGTTATTTAAGAAAAGAGTCTTTATCTGCAGGAGCATCATCTGAGCAAAGCTTCTATGAGACAGAGAGTGCCAGAACGCCTTCGAGTCGTGGTGCGTGTTAACGATGATGCAGCACAGCAAACACCCTGTTGTTCAGACTGTACAGATTGATTGTCCAGCTTCTGATCTTTCTGACTAAAATACCCAAAGAAGTTTGACATAGAATATCCATTATCTGACATTAATTCAACTTTTAAATAAAAATGTAAAAATCTAACCAGGTATCAGGTTAGATTGGATTCAGGTTTATGTTAAAAATGTTCAAAACATTCATGTGCAACAGGGTAAATACAATGCACATGGAATAGGATCTTTTTGAATGAATGGTTAAGAAATAAATATGGAATAGTAGTTTATTGCTCTGATTTTTGTATTCTTTTTCCCATATTTTTTTTACTGATTTTTCCGTGAAAATGAGGAGTATATTAATTTATGCCAATTTGAAGAGGAAAAGGGAGCATTAGATAAGTTTTTAGTGTTTTTTTTTGTATTCATAATACTAAATACATCCATCTTTGACATGAGAGAACTTGAAACTACTGAAAATAATATGCTTAGCTGGTTAATATTATGTCCAGTAATTATATTTCTGAAGTTACAAATAAATTTCTGTTAAAGCTGTAGTTAATATTTTTGATAGGAAAATAACTCACGTTTTGATATCTATGGTTTTAATTAGAAGAAGAAGTTTTCTTCTCAATGGCTGAAATGGACATGTCTCACAGCCTTTCCTCCCTTCCGCCACTTGGAGACCCTCCAACTATGGATCTAGACTTGTCTCTAACCAGTACATACACAACTACACCAGCAGGATCTCCACTGAGCACTACTGTGGTATAGTATTAAGTATATTTAAAACCCTTTTGGAATAAGATTTTTTCTGAAACTGTTACATAAATATGCTGTTACATAAATAGGCCAATTGTTGTCTAGCATCTTTTAATGTGTATTTATAGGCCTAAAATCATTCTATACCTGCCCTAAGGGTGTACAGGTGTTTTTAGCAGATCGTTTCCATAGTGCAAAGGAAAACCATGTTTGAAAATTTCTTATCTGTTTGGCTACCAAGACAGGGAATAGAATGTGTTTGTTTTCAAATGCCTTGAGGCTTATACAGCATATTTATGAAGAAAGCTCTGACTTTTATTTATAGCTCCATGCTTGATGTTTGCTGTTTTTTGTCACCGATTTTGCAGTCTGTACTACAATGAACAGTACAAAATTGTGTATTACTTTGGTCTTCAAAAAACACAAAGTTACTCTATTAATATCTCTGTTTTTCCCATCTCTATTATATACCAAGTGTTTTTCTTAGAGAGCAGTTTTCATTTTACAGAGAAAAATGAGAGGCTGTACGTAGTGAGAGAGAAGCTTCATTTTGCTTTAAAAATGTGTGTAAGAGTATTGTAGAATTGCCTTGTAGCCCAAAGTAAAGTGTCTCTATGTTGTGTAATTTAGTGGTGACATTCTGTGAAGTGGTCTGTTGTTGACTGTCTTGCACAGTCACCTGTTTTGTTTCTTTACATTATTTTTGTTACGTCTCATGCTTGTAAACACTTCTTTTTTTGGCAAATTTAAGGTCATACATATTTTTCTTTTAGCTTCAGCCAACTTGGGGTGATTTTCTTGATCGTAACAAACAAGAACTGCAACCACCAAGAGGTTCTTCACTTGCAGCCAATGTGGTTCACCAAGCTTCCTTAAGAAGGACGTGTAAGTTCATACTGCTTTGCATTGTGATCTCCAGATAATTTTGGAAATAAAATGTTACTCCACGACTTGGTGAGAAGAAATGAAAATCACAAATGAGATGATGTTATGTATGTGTTTTTACTGAAAAATTACTTGAACTTAATTTTGTATTTCAGCTATTCCATCCAGATCTGTTTCAGTGGATGAATCCAGGCCTGAGCTTCTTTTTAGACTGGCAGTGGGAACTTTCTCAGTGTCTGTACTGCACATTGACCCTTTACCCCCACCTGAAAGTTCACTGAATCTTAATCCATTGACACCAATGGCTCGGGATTTCTTTACCCGAATAGAAAAGATTGAGCCAGTTAAGTTTGCAACAGAAGATTTTCTGTCCTTCCGAGAAGTATTTGCGGAAGCTTGTTCTCATGATCACCTTAGGTATAACTTTGCTTCTTAATAAATATAATAAAGAAAAAGTACTTTTGAATAAGCTTGAATAAATTAAGTTTATTTCCTTTGGAATTGTGTCACTTAATACTTTGACCTGCATACGACGTTTTTGTTAATTTCAAAATAGTCCTGAATTTTGAAATTTGCTGTCCAAGGCTGTTTCAGGGAAAAAAAAAAAAAAAAAAAGTTTACAACCCTATCTAAATCTTTTCTAGTGTAGATAAAACAAATCCGGGCAGTTTTGACTACACAAATTTGCAAACTTAGGGCAATTAAGTAAAGGATTTCTTTAGAAATATTTGTATTTTATAGGACTATTTCTATGATAACAACAGGGTTTCTTTTTGGAGGAGCTTGGATTTTTATTTAATGCAAAACAGGGTATCAGTACGGTTTTGAAGTAAGTGTGAGCAAGATAATCAAGACAGTTGGGGGGGGATTTTCCAGAAGTACAGTGCATGCTGTAGCGTATTTGTGGGGACATATATTTTTCTTTCTTTTTTATTTTATGCATACATATATTCTAGAGTTCCTGAGAAATCTGAGTCTTTCATGCTTCCTTTAAGGATATTAGATACTCGGCTTCAGGTGAATTGCACTTAAAGTTAGACGTAAAGTAGATTAAAAGTTCCTCTTCTCTTGCCATTGTTGAAAATACCTCCTAAGTGGGTTCCTTTATTTTGTTGCCAATGTTAGAATCTACTATAATTATAAGATTTTTTTTAATGTAGCTTTATACATATTTACATTTTTACTTTTTTATGACAGATTTATAGGTACTGGCATCAAAGTCTCCTATGAACAAAGACAAAGGGCTACTTCTCGAAGTTTCAGTACTGATTTATCCGTTGGGGAAATGGAGTTCTTGGAATGCCTTTTCTCTACTGACTCTCATTCCATTCAGCCTCACTATACAGAGGTATGTTTTTTAAAAAAAATGAGTAAATGAAATGTAGTTGAAACTGTTATGACTTTTAAATAGTTATAAATTACAGTAACTATGTGGTTTTAAGGTACAATTTAATATTTTGGTTGCAGGTTCAGATGGTGAACCAGGCGGGTATCATTACCTGGCACAATTAGTATTAAGTAGGCAAACTCAAATAGTGTACTTTTGTTGTAAATATAGCTAACACTGATTGGTATTAAAGTAAACATTTTCTGAAAACAAGCTGATGGAGTTAAACAATGGAAAGGTTTCTTTAGGTGATGATTCCAGTTCCAACTCCTTTGCTGATCACAGTGGTCTCGTAAAATGTCTCACCAACTAGATGGACTAGCAGTGGCACCAGGGTTCTATTGCCTAGCATGACCACATGATTACCTTCTGTCTAGCCTAGGTAAAATGTCATAAATGTATTTTCCTGCGAATACTGTTTCCTCCTTGCCTGTTAATTCTTTTAAATCTATTTTGTTCTGTAGCTGTTGACATTTCACTCTAAAGAAGAAAATGATTCTCATGCTGTGCCATGCCTTCAGCTTCATTATAAGCACTCAGATAACAGAGGACCTCAGGTAAGGTGGGAGATAAAAACAAGTTCCTGTGTAGTATTCTTTATGCAATTTTCTTGATATTAAGGGAAGAGATACCTTTCTGTAGAACAGAAAGGCCTTAGCAGTTGTTGTTTAAAATTGATTTCGTTACATCCTTTTTAAGGATTTAACTGCTTTTTTTTTTTATCCTTATCTCTCTCTCCCTTCCCTCCCTCCTTTTTTTTTTTTTTCAGGGTAGTCAAGGGAGACTAAGTTCCGTTCCACAAAAAGCAGAGCTACAAATAAAGTTAAGCCCAGTGTTTTGTGAATTGGATATTAGTATTGTAGACAGATTAAATTCTTTACTTCAACCTCAGAAACTAACTACAGTGGAGATGATGGCATCTCATATGTACACTTCTTACAACAAGCAATTTAGTCTGGTAAGTTGGATATGAAATTTGTTAATGTGCATGCTGAATTTTTATGACAAGTATTATTGATGACAGAAAAACTAGTCTCTAAAACCGACTTTAGATAGAATCTAGACATCAGTGAAAGCTCTCCATTTAAAAATTTCATAAAACATGGAAAAAAATTACCGATATAATTATATCCTGAACATTTTGATTCTTTTCAAAAACTGAGCAATACAGTCAGGGAAGTTTTGAATGGAACATGTCAGTGAAAGGAGCTGGAAGCCATGACTTACTGAGAAGGAAAAGCATGTGTGGGAGTAACAGGATTCAGGAATAGGATTTCGTTAAGACACGATAGCACCTAACTGCTGCAGACTGTCATTTGCTGCTTCTACTGTCTAATTTGAGAAAGATCAAATAGCCATTTTTGAAGAATTTCTAGCCTTTCTTTGAAATGTTTAATATTTAACTAAATAATATCTTAACAGTACCAATAATAGAAGTGTGACCTAACAAACAACAACTGGTTCTAGTATCTGTGTTTTACAACCTTTTTTATATAGCATGTCATCAAAAGCCTTCTCAATAGTATTTTTATCCTATTTATTATTATTTATTATTATTATTATTATTATTATTATAGCATAAAGCATTTACTGAAGTTTTTCTGGATGATTCACATACTCCTGCAAACTGCAGAGTTTCCGTTCAAGTCACTGCGCCAGCATTAAATCTCTCTGTTCGCTTCCCGATACCTGACTTACGATCAGATCAGGAAAGAGGACCTTGGTTTAAGAAATCACTTCAGAAGGAGATTCTTCATCTTGAATTCACAGATGTGGAATTTAAGACTGAGTTTATAGGAGGGTCAACTCCAGAGCAACTTAAATTAGAACTCACCTTTAAAGAGCTAACCGGTAAGAATATTCTAGTTAAAATCAAAAAGAATATTTGATTTTTTTTTCCAGTGATGGCTTAGTTGAGACAGAAGTTTTCTAATGTGAATTCACTGAAACCTCTTGAAGGGATCTTTTTCCATTTACATTTTGTTTTTGAAAACAGATTCATATGTATATATTTTCCTGCTATTGTTATACCAGTTTCTTTTGATTTAGGATGACTCTGGAATTTCTGTCATAGTGTTATGAATCTACTTTATAGGAAGGGATTACAGTTATGCCAATAAGCAATCCCTTCTAGTCTAGAAACAAAGTGAATAATGATTTTCTAAATGAATGCCAAGTAGAGGACTTTAATATTTTTATGCCTCTAAACTTTCAAAGTAATAAATCTGTCATACTGGACTTTGAGACCTTCTTTGTTGATTGGTTTGCCGCTTTTAGTTTTCAAGTGTATGGCATAAGGTAGTGATGCTAAAAATGTAAATGCAGATACCTCTGCATTAGAAACGTGGTGTTTTCTGACTCCTACTAGAACGTAGTATGAAATAATTTTGAATTTTAATAATTAAATATCAATTTTTATTGAAAAAGAAAACTGAATTTCCATTTTAAGTATCTTACAGGCAGTGTTCACAATTAGCTTGTTGAACTCTATTCTGGGGAATGGGAAACCTGATGCTAGTGTCACTTTCATCTGTTATTTTTTTCTATTTTCTTTATCTGCTCAGGCTCCTTTGAAGAAGATAAAGGAGAGGCACCAATAAAATTTTTTCAAGTATCTGGTGGCATCGATGGAGATATGACATCATCAGATAACTTTGACTGGCCTCGGTAAAGTAATGTTCTGTTTTTCATCATAAGTTACGTGGAGCGGTAGGGTGTAGTGCTATTATTTTCTAATTCTCATGAAACCTGTGACATAGATGCTTTAAAAGTCCATTCTAAAAGAAGAATATGCAGTTATTGGAAAGAGTCTGAGGACTGATGTTTGTAATAACGCAAGACAGTTTTAATGTGTGTGGTTTTTTTGTTTGTTTTTTTTGTTTGTTTGTTTTTTTTTTATTTTTATTATTATTATTATTATTATTTTAAAAAGTGATTCTAGGCCTGAAACTTTGTAGCATGCTTTTGGAGACTAAACTTTTTGGCTTGGCAATTCTTTTATCTTTGTGCATAAGGGTGTATGCTTGTTTCCTTGATTCCATGGTGGTATCACTGTCTAATAAAAGGTGTTCATTGGTTGGCTTTCTGCATGTATTTTCTGGCTAGCTAGTAAAGCTAAAGGAGAGGTAACTCTGTACTTGCATAAAAATTCTCTAATGGCTTATTGTGAATAATTTCTCCAATATCAGGATTGTATTGAAAATAAATCCTCTAGCTGTGCACTCGATCCTGGAAAGGATAGCAGCAGAGGAGGAAGAAGGAGATGGTAACTTTCAAGAGGAAGAAGAAGGAGGGTCTCATTCTTTGAAGGATGTCTGTGATTTTAGAAGACCAGAGCCTTCTCCTTTTTCTTCTCGTAGGGTCATGTTTGAAAACGAAGAGGTACTGTAAAGTTATCTTACTGCTGTTGGGCTCATTGTAGATTGAATCAATATATTCTCCCAACCATAGATGCATTGATGTATGCAAAATATTTTTTACTTCAGTCTTTTTTTTTTCTCCTTTCAGATGGTGATGCCAGGAGATGTAGTTGAAATGATGGAATTTCAGGATAAAACAATTAGTAATTCTCATTATGTCCTGGAACTCACATTACCAAACATTCACTTAACGTTACCAAGCAAAAGCTTTTATGAAAAACTTTACAATAGGTAAGTGGGATATTTTCCTTGGTTATCACGACCTGTGTATTCTTCTAGTTCTGTATTCATTGTTGATAAAAGTTAGTGAATGAGTAGCTATAGCAGGAACTCATTAGTGTAGTTTTCGAAGAATAGAAAGTTTTGTATAAATCATAAGACACAGTAATATCTGTCATAGCAGCTAAGATCAGATCTGTGCCTTAGCAGCCAGCTGCAAAAGGCGCTTAGGCAGATTTCATGAGTGGAGGAGAAAGTTCAGTAGTCCATTGCTTTCAAAGAAAGAACCTATTCAGAATTTGTATACAATGTTTAGTTTCCTCTTAAATAGATGCAGATCTTTTTTCCCTTTCTAACCTAGTGAGTAAATATGCACCTAGTAATAGAGGAGTTTTTAGGACAGTGATAAATGCTGGCTTTGATACGTGCATATCATTAATATCTAAAAGCACAAAATGATTTTTTTATGTCCACATATAATGTTATTCTTTCTTGTGCTCTTGAACCTTTTCCTTGTTTGCCTTTATATCAAATCTGTGAAAGAAATACTGCTTGTTTAATCATTACTAAATGGGCATATATGGTTATATTTTGCCTAATAATAATAATAATTTCTTTCTTTCTAGGATCAGCAATGATTTATTGCTGTGGGAACCCACAGCTCCGTCTCCTGTAGAAACATTTGAAAACCTTTCTTATGGTGTTGGACTATCTGTGGCCAGCCAGCTCATCAATACTTTTAGTAAAGACAGCTTTAGTCAGTTTAAATCTGCAGTTCATTATGGTAATACACTGAATAAATCATCTATAATTACAGTGGTACAAAGCATAATTGACTGAAGTGATTAAGCTGATAGTGGAAAGAATTTGCAAATTTATAAGAAAAGATTTACGTATCCCAAGGCTGTTATATTAATTAAAATATAAGTGTGAAATTCAGTCATATTACAGATGGTAAAAACAATGAGTTAATGGCATAATATATGCACTGGTATAAAACTGCGTTTGCTGTTTCATCTCATAGATGATGAGAGCGGATCTGAGGAGGAAACGCTGCAGTATTATTCCACAGTCGATCCAAACTATCGTTCACGCAGAAGGAAAAAACTTGACTCTCAGAATAAGAACTCACAAAGTTTCCTCTCTGTTGTGTTAAATGTTAGTCATGGATTAGTTTCAATATTCACAGATATAAAGGTGAGATTCTGGATTTGAAAATTATACGCAAAATTGAGCTGTGTGTGTCAAAGTCGTTTTGGCTGTGGGACCCCTTCGTGATGTACATACGTTTTTTTTTGGAAGGTGCAAATGTTTACAACAACATTAAAATTCTTTTATTATCTTGATATTACCATGCTGTAATGTAAGTAGGCTATAATGCTACATAATATTTGAGCAATTTTGCTTACTTGATATTTAATATGAAAATAAACACAGGCAAATATGTATAGCTGTCATGTTAGACTGTCTTTAAATGCACAAACTGCGCAAATAATCATTTTTCCTTCTATTCTTCCTTCAGAAAGATGATGGAAATATAGTGGAAGGAAAATACGGTGAATTCTGGTTAGAATTCAACAGTGGTTCCCTTTTCAGTGTGACTAAATACGAAGGCTTTGAAGATAGACACTACATTTGTCTTCATTCTAGCAGCCTCAATTTATATCACCAAGGTAGGGACAGGGTTATGGTGGCGTTCAGGGTGAATTTGACATGAGATAAGATTACACTTTTTTAGAAGAAATGCTGTCTTTTTGTTCTGGTAGTGCATCATTTAGCACAATAGAACTGTTGTTCATGGCTAACGTCCCTCTATGTTACAGTAGTGCAACTTAAAGATAACTATGTTTTCTTGGTTAACTCTTCAACCCAAAATTATAGGTCTGTACCCCTGGCTACTACTGGTCATTAAAGATCTTATGGTCTTCTGACAATTTAGCTGTAGTTTGTTGCATTCACACGTTTTCCGTCTCAGTGGTTGCTTGGTTTAAAATAGTACAGCACAGTCTGCAGCAGTAGAACCCTGGCTGCTAATTGTAGTCAGCAGATGAAGTTTCTAAGTATCTGTGTAGTCTGTATGTCCAAAAACACCCCATAGTTAAACTTCAAAACTTTTCCCTTCAAGTGTATTTGAATGAATTGTCTTCAGTGTACTTTCTGTGCAGGGCTTAATTATGTGTTTAGAGGTTAATCATGCACCGTCACACAACTTTTGCTAGAAAAGTGATAATTTTTGTTTTGGTTTTTGCCTTTTTTTTTTTTTTAAAGTTACATTGAACATTTTATGTGGAACTGTGGTTCTAAATATTGGATTACCTGTAACCTCCCCTTCCCGGTTTATAGTAGTAAGTGTGCAGGACTTACAGGAATTGGTAATGAAAATCACTCTAAAGGATTCTCTTAGTATTTCTTAGTATTTCTTAAAGTCCTATCAGCTTTTTGATGAGATAACTCATGCTAAAATGTGTCTGCAGGTTTGGTGGATGGGGTTGTCCCTTCGTCTGAGGTCCGGCTGCCCAGCACAATACGGCCCCACTGGTTGGAACCAACCATTTGCTTCTGTGAAGAGGACGGCCTTAGTAGGACTGCGCTGGATGGTGTGGGAGGGGAGTCTCTGAACATGCTGACCGTTGCAGTCAAAATACAGTCAGATAAACTGGAGAATAACACAAAGGTTTGTGTTTTCAAATTTTCACTTTTGTGATTTATTTGGCTGTTGTTTTTTTTCTGGAAACGTTAAGTGTGGAATTACAAAGACCGTAGATAAAGGAATCATGAATTCAGAGCTGCTTTCTTTCTTAAACTATAATATTGCATTAAATTCAGATTTTAGATGTTTTGTAATACTTAAGTGTTGACATACCTTACTATTTTTTTTTTTTTAACCATACCTCACTTTATTTCTTTAATGAATATACTTGTTGGTCAATTGGTCTTTTTCTCACTCAAACTTATTTTTGTTCAGTTGAGTTTTAATCAGGTGCCAAACCAGTCAGGAATAAACATAAAGAGTTGAAAGGATTTTGTTTGGCTCACTGTCAGTGTCATAAATGTGCAGGCTTTGTTTCCTTACTTGGAGCTGCACTCTGGCAATAAGAGTGATTCTTTTGGCTTTGACAGTAACATTCATTAGCATGGCTAAAAGATGAGCTGTTAGCTGGCCTAGTGGTGACAAATGGATTAGTGTAGTTACTTAGAGAAGGAATCTGCAGACTAGTACAGCAAATTTGTGGCTCAATGGACTCAGGTTTGAAGAGCATAATAAAGGACTATGAAGCTTGTACTTCTGGAGAATCTCTGCATGAATGAACAGGTTATCTCCCTAGTGTCACCGCCACAAAAATGGTCATAATTTCTAAATTCTACTGTTAAAATAAGTAATAGACTGGATTATCTGGGGTTTTTTGTTTTGGAAAGGATGTCGTCTTAAGTTTCCAAATCTGGCCCAGGCCTTTCTTTGTTTCTGTTCCAGGATCTTCCAACTGTCTGGAAATAAGACTTTCATATTCTAAATCTCAAATAATTAAATGTAATAATTATATGTATTTAATTTCGGCAACTTTCTTGTGCAGGAATTTCTAGTTGCTGTTGGACTAAGAGGAGCTACCCTGCAGCACAGAGTCCTGCCTTCAGGTTTAACCTGGCACGAACAGGTCAGATTACTACTACAGCTTTCTCAACTCCATCTTCAATGTCAGTGTCATTGCTTTAATATTTGTTCTAAATACCAAGCTTACCTTAGTCAGAAATATTGGTGTTAGCCTTTGACTTATTGTCCTACTCTCTTCTTGTAGGTGTATTATTGTTTGTTTGTTTTTCCCTCTTCTCTCTTGGTAGCTCTGATAGACTACTGATCTGTTCTCAGATTTTAATTTGTGCATTCATTTGTTGCAGTTCATCTCATCAACCTAAATCTTTGCCAGGACAATCTGAGGAAGCTTAAAAAGTGTAGTTCATACAGGAAATCTCCATAGCCTAATGCTTATTATTTTCTTGCCTTTATCGAAGTAGTTAGATGACCCTTGACTTAAAGCAACCATTTGCAGCTTTGGTGAGGTTTCTTTATTTCAGCATTTCTCCCATTTGCTGACTTCATTCCTCAAGTTGCAGTTTCTCCCCCTCACTTTCCCATTTTATATTGATTGTGTTAACGTTAATGGAAAAGAAGACTTTGGGGAATTAGTAAGCAGCTGATTACATAAAGGTTTGTAATGTAAATCTCCTTCTTAAAAGGGTTATATTGATACGTATGGATTCAGAGGTACAGCCTGGCAGGGAAGGCTGGAGAACCTAGACCTGGAAGCTGTGGGTGGAGGTGTACGAGTTAGGACATGCCATTAGCAGAGCAGCAGTGTAGTTGTGTGTATTTGCACGTTACACCACGCTGAATTACAGACCGTAAGCCCTGTAATTCAAGCTGTCCTGCTACAGTATATATGGTATGCATATTTTTACATGTGTTTTTATAGTGTGTCTGTATGGAGCTGTGCTATAGGAACCTGGTGCTTCAGGCTCAGATGTGTCACTCCTTTCTTCTCTGTGTGATGCTTTTATGTCTTCTTGTAGCCTACTTTACATATTGTATTGCTGCTGTGAGTGGCTTTTCTCTCTGTGTTGAGAGTCTTGCCTGAAATGGGTTTGAGTAGCTTTTTTTTGAGGAGGAGGTGGAAGTATTAGTCCAAGTTTAGGTAGAGAGGATTGAAGCGACTAACAGGGTTGGTGTGTACTATGCTTGGAAAAAACACTTGAAGATAAACTTTTATCTTTTGTACTGTAACTGAGTTGAGAGAGGTTTAGTGATTCTCTAATTAAATCCTTGCTCCCCTTTACTTTCTCTTTATACAAAATAAGCTGCTAATAGACAAAGAAAATATTCCTAACGCTACCATAACAGCAACAAAGAACAGTGAATTAGAGTTTGTAAAATGCTGTAGAAGTAGTTTGAGAGGAATTGGATAACCAGCCACTCTAGGGTTCTGTGGTCAGGTTCTTTTCATATTTTTCTAATAAGCTGTTTGACTCTCGTATTTTTTTGCCCTGCTTACATTCAGTGCTTTCCTGTATTGAGATAGTTTGGAACGCCTTTGAATATCTACCACCTAAGCATTTTGATGCTAAGGTCTTTCTTTTTTTATATAATTTATGATTGTTTCTTAACACATATTGAAGGATTATAATAATATGTTTGTGACTTTTAGATTTTATATTTCCTGAATATTTCTGATGAGCCTGTCTTGGGATATAATCCTCCAGCTACAGTTACAACCTTTCATGTCCATCTGTGGAGTTGTGCTCTTGATTACAGGTAAATAAAATCTGAGCATGTATCACTTGATACTGCAACAATGTATTTATTCTTTAGGAATGCTTTTAGGAATGCTCCAACATATTATAAATAATATTTATCTAGGTTTGTTTGGAAAAAATACTTAACATAAATTGCTTACAGTTTAAGGTATTTAAAGTAGGATAAGCACTATTCAAGGGCTTGAGGAATTCTAGGTAGGAATGTTCTAAGACTTTTTTGTGATTCTGAAATATGCACAAAATACTCATATACTTTTTTTTTTTTTTTTTTTCTCCCTCCCCTTGTTGTTAGGCCTTTGTATTTGCCAGTCAGGTCTCTACTTACAGTTGAAACTTTCAGCATTTCCAGCAGTGTTGCAGTAGATAAATCCTCTTCTACTCTGAGGTACAATTTTGTGTGTTTGTGGATCATGGAAGCTCCTGTAAAACTTGTAATGCCTGTCTACTTTTTTAATTTAGAAAGAAAATACATAATCAAATTTGATTGACTCTCGAAATGTACTTCGTTTATGTGCAATCCTTCTGTTTTATTAGGATAAATTACATAATATTATTGCTACTAAAAGCAAACCAAGTAATAACTATCAACTCTGAGGCCTTTAATACACTTGTAAGTTTTATTATGTTAGAGGATATCTGTATTATATTGAGATAGTATTTTAAATAAGGAAATATTTAATGTAATGTTTTCTTAAAACTTCAGTTAAATATTCATACTTGTTATACTTGTAGCGATGTGAATCATTTCCCAAATTGTTTCTATTGCTATGAAATTACAAATGGTCATGTGTACTGGAAACAAATGTCTCTGATATTTTATTTAAAGAAGAAAAAAATTTTTAGTCTGATGATTCTATATGTCAAAAACATTAATTTCTCAAGTAAGGATCAAATGGATATATTAAAATACAAGTAAAAATTACTTAGTTATTGTAGTTGAGATGGTTAGATCCATACTCTATAGTTATCTTATGGATTTGAGAATTATGGAAGGTCAAAATGAAGCGTTTTAATTTGTTTGAAATACATTTAAATAAAGAGCAAATAGTTATTTTTATGTTCCCAATAGATTTAAAATATATTGAATATATATTTACACACACATACTTATTTTTTCCCTAAATTTGTTAAATATTCTCAATATTGTCTATTTTGCCTGGTAATTTGTGCAATGTTTCCTTTTTATGTTTTATTAATTTTTTTTTGTGTTTCCCCTTAAGGATAATTTTAGATGAAGCTGCTTTGCATCTGTCTGACAAGTGCAATACTGTCACCGTGAACCTTCATAGAGGTAAGGATCTTTAAGATATAGCTGTGTTCCATTGTTGAATTTCTGATAGAGCCTAAAGAAACAAAATTCCCAGAATATTCAGTGTGTCTGTGTGTATGTGTGTGTGTGTGTGTGTGTATCTATATATAAAGCTTATTAAGAAAAATAATAAATGGCAAGTTGAACATGTAAGTGTTGTAGTTTTGATGTGTAGATGAAACACCATGTCACAGAACAGAAACCACAGTCTCTAATGTTATCACTAGAGCAGCATATTGAGTAATTGGGTAAAAAAAAGTTCATTTTTGAAAATCTTTAGACAGAGAAATCTGCACAGAAAAGACATCTCGTATAATGAATTCTAAATAGTTTAACTTGGAGAGTGTTATATGGCATGGAAAGGGAATACCGTTTTCAGAAAGATACCAACTATTTTTCTGTCATTCATACAGTAACAACTTTAGGACTAAGGAACTCGAACCAATATTTCATAGTTATATTGTAGAAATAATTAAACCCTGTGGTGACAAATATGTATGTTTTGCTTAGATAAGAGAGACTTAATGAAGGAGAGTGTAAAGATGTGCCAACATTGTTTAAATATGACAGAGGGGAAATAAATTACTCATGGCACTGAGTAGTTTGTACAGTGTGAAAGGGTCTAAGTGGCCTTTTGGCTGAAACGTTCCTAGGATGCTTAGTCATTTAGCTTCTTGCTTAGTCATTTAGCTTCTGTGTTGCTGTGTTTCTCTAACTCATATGGGTAGGATGAAAGTAAATGCTTTAAAGATTCCACTGTGCCCATGATGGCCATGAGAGGGACCATGAATATTTCTGGTTTTATTCTGAGTAGCTGAACCTTGAACTTGAGTAGTTCTGATATAGAAAAAAAATCAGAAATATGAAAAGTGTCAACCCCAAAGCCCCCCCCCCTTTTTTTTTCTTATTTTTTCTAATGGTTTCATGACCCCAAAAATAACGTAATAGTTATTTTGTTTTTTAAGTACTTATATTTCATTTTTTTAAATTACTCATTGACCTGCAGATTATGTCCGTGTTATGGATATGGGACTTCTGGAATTAACCATTACAACAGTAAAATCTGGTTTTGATGGAGAAAGAGTAAGTATCTGTAATCACAATTAAAATAAAATGTAAAATATTCATGACAGAATTATTATTTGAAAATGATTTTATTGTGCTTAGTGGGGAGGAGGGTTCAGTTCACATATACTTTTTTTTGAAGTCTCTTTTGACTAGTTTAATTTAACAGTATCTATGTATAAATTGTTATTTATATAGAACCTCGTTATTTTAAACATATTCCTGTTTTTCTATTGCTGCTCTCTAGACTAAACCACGTTTTGAGCTGCACTGTTCCAGTGATATTATCCATATTCGTACCTGCTCTGATTCGTGTGCTGCACTAATGAATCTTATACAATATATTGCAAGTTATGGTGATTTACATCCACCTGCAAAGACAGAGATGAAATCTGGAGTCAGCAAGACAAAAATGAAGGTATAAATTGGCAAAGTATCATCAACTTAATTGCACATCTCTTAATAATATGTTTCAGCTTTGATGTCCAGATTCTATTTCCAAGTTATAATTGTTGTTAATTTGTGAACTGATTATGTGTAGTTTAAAAAAATAATTGAGAGTAAATTGTTCCCTTTTTTCTGACTTGTCAGTACTTGGTATTTAAAATCTTTTGTGCTCTTTACCTGTTATACTTCATTCCTATATGAATGCTCTTTGAAGCATGTGAATCTGCTCTTAATTAAGAATTTTGATGATCTAAATAAACTGAACCACAATGTTTTAAGCTTATTTATAGATCATATGGAGCATAGTTTCAGGTGAGTTTGTTACTTATAAAGTTAGGCTATTACTCCTTGCTCTTTAATGGTTATGAACCAAGCCATTCTAGCAGATTCATGTTCAACATAAGGCAGTTGTCTTTAAGATGTAACTTAACTATGTCTAATACCTATCATATAGGCAGATACCTTTAGCCAGCCGTCTTCCCAAGGCCCAATCCTTGCCGAATCAGAGCAGCAGATTTTACGGGATTTGATGAGTGATGCTATGGAGGAGGTTGAGCCGCGTCGGACTGCTTCCCCCACGAAGCCAGAGTCTAATGGTAAGGCTCCTCTGGAGACATAAGCGCTTTGAAAAAGGAGCACTTTAGTTAAATACTGTAAGTGAGTATCTGATAATAAAGTTGATACTATAGATGGGAAAGAAAGCAGTAGAAAATTAGTAATTTAAAGTTCTGGTCGGATATATATAACTAAGATGCTGAAAACAATAGGAGAGGATATTTACTGTAGTTTCTGACAATAACCAAAATTTTCTAATCATAAGTCACCATCAAGGTGTAAATTGATAGAGCATATTGCAGTGTGGAAGAATTAAAGACCTCTGTTCTGTGTATGAAGACAATCCAGGAGGATGGAGCACTTTAAGTCACAGAAAGAATTTAGAGCTCCGAACCAGTCTTTTAATTAGCAGAAAGGAGGACACAATTGATTTCATCACAGGATTGTAGCTTCTGCATTATGTTTAAATATAAATCCAAAGTAAAATTAGAAACAAATTTTCTATTGTAAATAGCGATAATCTCTAGTTTTTGATGTATCGTCTCTTTGCAATGGTGGAAGATGTAGTATTGAATGTTATAGGTATTGTGGTCTTACTGCATGAATGAGAAACTTGGAAACAAAAAGCTGTTGCATACCTGTGGGATATTTTTTGTTAACTCATCTCTTCTAGTAGCAAGTTACAAATGTTGTAATTGCCTTCAGTCATACAGTGGATATAGTTTTGAAAACTGTACTTCATAGGAATTGATTCAGCATCAATAATAAACATATTCTCTTTATGATGTAGTTAAGTAAAATTTTTATTTAGGAATTCTGTTATTTTGTTTTTATTTTCATATTGTGTGAATTTTATTTTCACTATTTTTTTCCTCCCCTGCAGGAGTTTTGGACGACAGCTCCCAAACTCAAGAGCCATCTTGTTCAGATCTCTTCTTGTTTCCAGATGAAAGTGGAAATGTTTCACAAGAGTCAAGTCCCCCTTACTCTTCCTTCACTCATCACCTGTTAAGTTTGAAAGTGATGATTTCTGCTTTCTCTTTGCACCCAAAGTTTCTGTAACTGTAAGAATCTTTTATAATTATTAAGATACCCATATAAAAACTGAATTAGATAAAAGCTTTTGCAAGATGTGCACAAGTTACACATCAATTTTTTCTTGATTACTTGGTGATATTTTTGGTAATGGGCAAAATAAGAGAAAAGTAGTCTTTCTATTTGGAAAGTATTTCAGGTAATGTTACCATTAAACATGAATACAGATATTTTAGAATATATACGTATTTTTCTCTCTTTGCATTATGTAATTATTATAAAAGTTTGCAAGCAGAAATGGTGTTTGCTTTGCACATATTTTAATCTTTCATTCATCTCTTATGTAGTCTAAGCTTTCATTTGTTTTATGAGCCTGAGCTCAGCCAAAGCTCAGAGAAAAGCTTATGTGTCACTTTACACCACTATATCTCAACTACATGAAAAGGTTTAGAGAGCTATAGGCAAACTCTACGAAAATAGCAAATATTCATGTTCTTTGTAGTATCTCTAGTTGCCTTTCTCTTAATAGACACAGGTAGGGCTGGATGCCTAATGAGAAGCCAATATTTGCCTGGTTATCTTTGAGCTTGTCTATTTCTAAAATGCCAGTATGGTGGCTCTGTCTGTACCAGGTTGTTTTCCAATTCTTTTGCAGTTCAGATAATTTTTTTTCAGCTTCTTTTTAGTTTCTAGTTTACTTATCTGTTCTCAGAATGATTCTTATAAGGTAATCTAAAGTTATGGTGTCTATGTTGTATTAATTTCAGAAGACAGTACAGAATAGTTTTGTTTTCTTTTCATGTTGAATTGCACATCTGAATAAAGATTTCAACTTCTCAGTATTATATGTGTTTTTTAACCACTAGGCAAAAGAGGAAGAGCCAGTAGTAAGAGTAATGGTGGATGATGCAATTATCATAAAGGATAATCATTTCAGCCAACCTGTTAAAAAAGCAGATACAAGCAAAGCTCCCCTTCACTTTCCTGTTCCTTTGGTACGCTATGTTGTAAAGGAAATCTCTCTTATTTGGCATCTTTATGGTGGAAAAGATTTTGGAACTGCGCCACCAACTTCTCCAGCTAAAAGTTTCATGTAAGTGTTTTAGATCAAATCCTGTAAGATATCTACTTTTCCCTTGGGTTTAAGATTGAATGGCGACATGAACTTCATTATTCTTCCTTCTGTCCGTCCCTCCCTCTCTGCCAGGAATGTTCCATTGAGTTTAGTTCTAGATACCATGGTATATTTTTCCATTTCCTAACCTGAAAGAACAGAAGTCGTTTTGGTGTTTTGGGTTTTTTTTGGTGTTTTTATCTTTTCACTGATATAATACTAAGTAAAATCCAGTGAAACAGGCATGCTTTTACAATTAGAATTACAAATGAGCTGACTTGAAATTTAAACTAGGAAAATGTACCTTTTTGTCTGTCTGTTTTCCCCCACAGTAGTCCCCATAGTTCTCCTTCTCATACTCCAACAAGGCATGGACGGAGTACAGCATGCGGGGGAAGAGGAAGAAACCCAGACTTCCTTATGGAAATTCAGTTAAGCAAGGTGAATAATAGAAAAGCCTTCAGCCTTGACTCTGTGAATAGTTTTTATATATCAGTTTGATATCAGTTTTCCCCTGGAATTGAGGAAGCTGTCTTTCATTAATATGTACATCTAAGCAATCATGGTGACATGGTGAATTTAGAATTGATTTTTTTTTTGGATTGTTGGGTTTTTTGCTTGACCATGTTTTGCAACTGCTTTTCCATTTTCTTGTAACTTTGGTTCTACTTGTAATTGATACATCTATCACGAAGTAAAAATGGTTTAGGAAAATAACTGGCTTGTATATTTGCTGAGACATCCAGCTGATAACTGGATATTAAGTAATACCCAATAATTTCACAACATCATCCCTTTTAAGGTTTCTGATAATAATATTTAGTTTCCTTTTGGGTATTACGCAGCTGTTGTTTTTTTAATCCCATGCTTAGATCTGACAACCAATCTTCATATTTAAAGGATTAGTAACAGAACCTTTTTAAAATACAAATTTCTTAATCGCTTCTGCAAACATGAAAGGAATTACATAAAGTGTAAATGCCTTTTATATTCTGTGCATGCTTTTAGACCTTAAAATTTAGCCCATCAACAGTTAAAATTTGCCAGAAAAAAAATGATTCTTTAGATTTGTCTAGACAGAAATGATGCTATGATAAAAAGGGTAGAAGAGCTAAATATTCCATGGGAAAAATCTGTAGTAATGCAATTTCTTGAGATCTAAGTATCTGTCCAGAGGAGGTCACTGTTCTGTTTGCTGTGTGTGCTCTTAAACTGCTGCCAAGAATGCCATGGAAATTACTAAGAGAAGGAATGATGCGTAGCTAACTGGAAATGGTAGTTGCATCAAGAGATGAGGAAGACAGGAGAATTTAGAATGAAAGGATTAGGATTTCTATGAGCTAATGTACTGAAGAAAAAGGAAAGTAAAATTGCAAGCAGCAACATGAGAAGGCTATTTGGTAGAGAACAGAAATGTTACTTTCCTAAGAATATTAGGTGCAGGATTCAAGAATTGCTGGATTCCCTGGTGCAAGCTTCAATGTGATGCAAGGAAGAAAGAGCTGCAACTTATTGAGAGGAAAAAGCAGAGTAATGAATGAAAAGTAAAACCCACTCTTTATTTCACACTGACTTGTTCTAGCTTTAATTTTGACCAGTATGAGTATGCCCACAAAATGGGATTGATGCACAAAAATATGATTGGTTTTATTATTATTCCTGTAAACTTAAGTCCATATATGTGTGTGTGTGTCTGTGTGTGTATATATGTATTTAGTAGTAGTGTCTTACTAAAGCTTGTTTATCACTAAAGCTGATCACACTGTTTTTCTTCTCTTTAACAAAGGTGAAATTCCAGCATGAGGTGTATCCATCAAGTGGGCCACCAAGTGAATCCAGTCTATTGGAGCAGCCAGTGTCACGTCAGGTTTTTATTGTTCAAGACCTGGAGATCAGAGATCGCTTGGCTACATCACAAATGAATAAATTTCTCTATCTCTACTGTAGTAATGAGATGCCCAGAAAAGCACATTCAAACATGGTACAGTTATGAAATATGTTAATTTAATAATATCTACTGTGGTTGAACATTATAACTGAGTAACTGAGAGTTGTATACATTTCTTGATCTTGCAGATGAAGGAATATGAGGTCATGGAATACTGATGTGATATTACTCATTGCTAGCTAGTTATTTTCTGGACTTCTAGTAAATATTAAAATTATTTAAAAAGGCAGTTTGAAAATTGGTATGTCAGGTATTAATGTTTGTGATATTCTGTCAAGTTAGAAAAAAAGTATATGTACGGGAATACTTTGCTAGCATTCTGGTTTTGGTTTGGAACACATCTGTTTGTATGTGTATGCATAAACTTTTCAATAGGAATGTAGTCCTGAAGTACAGGAATGTCATAGTGGCTCTATTAAAAAAAAAAAAAAAGTTATTTTGCTTTTTAGAGTTTTCTTATTTCTATGAACTTTTTATAATTTCCATAAAAATTACTTCAGTTCAACACTAGCTTTGTAATTGGCACTTGGGATTCTATTAGCAGGACAGGGGGTTTGCAATAAATGTTTGTCCTAGGTAGTGGTCTGAGATTAATAGTTGAGAATGTTGCCACTTTTTATTTAATTTGCCAATGTTCTTCAGTTAACAGTTAAAGTCCTGCATGTTCGGCCAGAGTCTGGCAGATCCCCACAGGAATGTTGTTTACGTGTTTCACTGATGCCACTTCGCCTCAACATTGACCAGGTTAGTTATGCCAATACAAAACAAAATGTCATTTTTTTAATCTTTTTTCTTTTTAAGGCTTGATTTATGATTAACAGCACATCTTTGGAGCTCTGTTTGCTTATCTGTCTTTAAATAAATGAAGTAAAACAGTTTGTATATTCATATTTAAAGTGCAATTATTATTCTCTGTAGACACATTTCTTGTTTCATTTGTTTTCTGCCAAAAGATGCTTTTTTCAAAAGCAGAATCAGGAGTGTTATGCCTACTGCCCGTTTCCTACAACACATATTGGATACCAACTTTTCACTGTGCTGCCATGTGTTTCTCTGTATGCTCTGCAATAATTTTGTGTAGCACAGTAGCCTGGAAATAATGACACCTTGTGACAAAATACATTCCCTCTTCCTAACTTTTGTAAATGCTTTGAATTTGGAACCATAAAAAAGAAGTAGCTTTTGCAACTGCTGCAAAATCAACCACCCTTTTCTTGTAAGTGCAGGGCTGCATGCACTTCTGTTACAATTTCTTGTTATTACTTCTTATGCCGTCTGCTTATCAGATGGAACCTAAAAAGGAAAAAGAAGCCCAGACATCATAAGTCATGGGATGAATAAGGCAACAGTGTGATGTGTGATGCATCTATCAAAAAAGAAAATGGGATTGGGTAGACAAGACATTAAGTAGTGGCAGAGAAGTGTTAGTAACTGTTAGTGAAACATGGGTGAGATCTGATCTGGAATGATTTGTCTGCATTGGCAGTATCAGTACAAATGAATATAAACTCACTTTGAATACCTTTTGGTTGGAAGTTAGGAGTGAGTTTATAGCCATTAAAACACTGGGCCAAATAAGAGCAGAGATGATGGAAAACAAGCTGAAGTTTTAAAACAGCTCAGTGGCTTATGAATCAGGTCCTGTTTAGCAGGGAGCGATGACCAACAGGTTCTTTCTAGGTTCTCTTATGGATTCCTAAATGACCTTTGCATTTATTAGAGGATAAAAGAAGGGTCAAAATAAAGAAATACTTTTAGACTCATATCTGTATAGCAATATAAGAAATGGAATTACAGGTAATATTTTTAGAGAGTTGATGTTTCTTTAAGCTGATTATCTTATATTTTTGTCATTAGGATGCCTTGTTTTTTCTGAAGGATTTTTTCACTAGCCTGTCTACAGAAGTTGAACTTTTAGTGACTCCAGATCCTGAAGGTATGATGGAACAATAGGAAAGAGCTTCTTTCTCTTTTATGTGTGTGCATGTGTGTAAGAGCACATATCTGAATCCCTTGTGTGTTTATAAAAGCAGCTAGTTCAACATTAATGATCTGTTCATTAGAGCACAGACATTTTGAAAATATTTTAGGGTTTTGTATGTTATTGATGCTGTCAATATCTTAAACACCTGGAATTCAGGTGCGCAATGTGGCATGCTCGTTTTCACTAAAATAGCAGTTATCTCATAAGAAATTCTGAAAAACTTGCAGAATATAGGCATATAGTACTAGCTACTATAAGTAGATAGATCAAAAGCATTATTTGCAACCTTTCTGCATACAGGGATATGTTTGTCTAATTGCTTTAAGTGTAATGCCTGGGGAAGGAATATAGCTCAAGTGTGTAAATAGGCAGCACAATGTTTGTAATTTCTTAAAGCAGTATATTCATTCAGCTGCACTGTTTGATTTTTAAGCAAAGTATATTGAAAAGTGTACCTCTACTAATTGTGTCTGTGAATTTGTTAGCAGCTGTACTTTACCTACTTCTGTTGAGACAGCATCTTGAAATGGCTATGAAGTACTTAGAAATGCTCTTGCTAGAACAAAATGGATTATTTATGCTGATGCATAATTAGAACTGGAAAAATTTTTCTTGAACTTCAGAACATTTCATGCAGGCTTTTAAGTAAAAAGCAGTGGCTTTTTACCATAAACCTCAAATTAAGCTTCTTGTAATAATTTTAAAAGATAATTAAAATATTGTCATACTCGGAGACCTGGTAGTAATTCCTATTAGTTAGTATTAAAACTTAATAATACCAAGATAATTTTTGTAATTACTGTGAAAGATATCGGGCTATTTATTTTGTGTGTGTGTGTGTGTGTGTGTGTGTGTATATATATATATTTTTCTTTCCTCAGTTAAGAAATCTGCTGCTACTGAAGTTACCTGCAATTTGCCCAGACATGTCAGCAGCCTTAAGGACCCAAGTCCAGTAATTTCCTTCTCATCACACAAGCAAACAAATGAAAATGGTAGCATTGATTCTGTGGATGTGATTAATGTAGATGATCACTATTTCTTACAAGAAATGACATCATACAGTGATCAGCCGGTATTTTTCAGGTAAAGTTTAAAGATTTTCAGAGAAGCACAACTCTTCTGCTGAATGCTTTAAGAAAGTGTCACAATAAGCCATTCAGAACTTGCAGACAAGATGCGTCTTTTATTACTGATTATGGAAAGCAAATACATCTTCCAGTGACATGAACAAGTAACTAATGAATTCATTATTTTTTGTGCATTAATGAGCACAAACAGATAAAATGAAATCAAGGCTCTCCTATCTACAGAATAAGTATGATGATTTACAAATAAATAAAAGGAGCAGTATTTGTACTATGGATCTGAAAGTCAAAATTAGATCTAATTTATAACCAGGAATGAAAGCATATCAACAAAAATGTTATCAAGGAAAGGTTATAAGATTAAAATATGTTCTGCATATAGTTCTGACCAAAAGTCTGATTGTAGAGATTGCATCTTGTTATGCAGAAGTTTTTTTGTTATCTATTCAGATGATTAGATATTATAACAAGAGACACTTTTGTAAGCACAGCAAAAACAAACAGTGGAAGAATGATTGTGATTTTATTTAATCACATATATCACTAGCAGAATTTTTTTAAAGTTCCAGTTGTAGGGGTAAGTTTTCAGCCTTTGTGTTTAATTAAAAAAAAAAAAGTGAATTCCTTTTTTTCTTTTTAAAAAAAGGAAGGTGTTCATCTACAAAAAAAAGTGCTACTTTTGCAGGACAGCTACACCTATAAATGCTGACCTTGGTTTGAATTTAGTGAATCAAGAAAATCTCTATTTGTTGTTGTGTTTTTACACAGTTTCTCTAATTTATGTAAGCACTAGCAATAACTATCTAGGAGGAACTGTAGTTTCAGAAAAGGGTATGGGAGTTTAGGAAACCATTAATTTATTTTTGAAAGGATCTATTTATTTCCTGCTTATGTTCCTCACAATGAATTTATCTTGTATATTCCAGAGAATTTCGGTTTACATCAGAAGTTCCAATACGCCTAGACTACCATGGCAAACATGTCTCCATGGATCAGGTTTGTTTATAATGCTGATGCTGTGTAAGAAATAGACACATTTTTTTTCCCTTCGGTTGGGATATATTTTGTTCTCTACTCATTATTGATGAACCCATGGGAAACAAAGAGTATTTCTTTCTTTAAAATTCCAGTAAAGCTTAGTCTTGTTTCACTCTCAGTTTGAAACCCGGAATAGATCTTCCAGGTATAATGAATCTGTACTTGAAAGTCACATTCATCAACTCCATGGCTGGCTGGAAGTCCAGTCACACAGCTGTAATGTCTCAGAGGATGATACCACTGCCTGATGCTTTAATTAATGTGCTTTATTTTCTTTTGTCGTTTAATGCTAACACAAAGCATTTCTTTTGTTTCTGTTTTCTGCCCCTGCAGTCCAGCAATAAAGAGGTTTCAGAATTTGGTGTAGATTAAAAAAAAAAATCTGGATTTACTAACTAACAGTTAGTTACTAAATCTGGTTTGCAGAGCAGATATTGAATATTCTTTTTGCACAACAAAGTTCATAACCTCTTATAGCACAAGGGTATGAAAATACGGTTAAGTAGAGGTGGGAACTCCTTGAATTGGCATTGCTGCCAAAGAACTTGTAACATGAAATAGCAGCTACATCAGACTTCTGAAGAGCCTTTACCAAAAGATTCATCTGAGTAGCTGAATAAGCTACATATTGTCTTTTGCAAATTTTCAGGTAACATAATTCATAGGACTGTAATTAGTGTCACTTAGGAGGTTGAGATGGGATCATTTCAAATAAGAATGCATGAAGAAGATTTAGATGATAATTTTTTTTCCAGGTACAGACTGCCCAGAGCATGTAAACTCTCCTGATAATGTAATATTTCATTTACAGGGAACATTAGCAGGGATTCTTATTGGACTTGCTCAATTAAACTGCTCAGAATTAAAGTTGAAAAAACTTTGCTACCGACATGGGTAAGTTTATCAAGTTGTAGAATAACATTAGTACTGCGGATTGGACCGATCTATGGTGGATGTTGCAAGTAAAACGCAAAATCTCTCATTAGATGCACTTATAAAATTCAAGATGCTTTCTAATAATTTTTGTAACCAGTATTTCACTTTGACTAGGTCTATTTTAGTTTATAGGCATAGTTCTTTGGGTGTGGAAAAAAATGGAATTAAGAAATGTCTGTGAATATATAGAGTTCAAGAAAATCATCTGTTTTCAGTATGTATATGTGCTAATTTTGGTGCTAAACTCTTCATTGTAGTTGTATGGTTGTTTCCTCTGAAGCTGTATGCCATCATGCAGTCTTAAACTTTTCTTTTATGAGGCATGTAAACATGAAACAGTTGTATTAGCCAAGAGCAATAGAATATCACACTCAAACAGCTTCCCCTTTGTCTGAATGACTTTTTTTGATCTAAGTGAATAGTTAATTCAGTGAATTCTTTTGTTATAAATATTAATCACTTTATTTCAGTTTATTAGGTGTGGATAAGTTGTTCTCTTATGCCATCGGTGAATGGATTAATGATATTAAAAAGAACCAGCTACCAGGAATTTTGGGAGGAGTAGGACCAATGCATTCACTAGTGCAGCTGGGTAAGTTAATTCTCATTCCTATAGAGATGTATGTAGCACTGGTTTTTAAAAAGTTGACAGTGTCAGTTCTTATTTTTACTCAAATTCAAAAGAACTTTCTAAATGGCATTCCATGTTCCTTTGCAGTCCAAGGCCTGAAGGACTTGGTGTGGTTGCCCATAGAGCAGTACCGAAAGGATGGTCGCATTGTGAGGGGCTTTCAAAGAGGGGCTGCTTCTTTTGGCACTTCCACTGCAATGGCAGCATTGGAGCTAACAAACAGAATGGTTCAAACTATACAGGTATGTAGTATAGAAATGGATATAAAATATAGAAATGGATATAAAATGAGAACTTTTAGTAGTAAAGTGATTTTTATTAAGATACATATTTATGATGTATTTTAATGCTACATTTAAGTTTGGAGCTCTGTATAAAGAATGCTATACAAATAGGAAAGCACAGAATCAGCAGAAATGAGGTGAGACTTGTGATATGATATGCAATGTCTGGAACACTGCGTTTAAAATCTTGCCCAACATCCAGACTTTTAATTTTTTTCCCCCATTTAGTTATCGCTGCTTTGGCTAAAATATGTTTGTTTATCTTAAAGATATTTTTCTTGTGGCTTAAGATGAAAAAGCTCTGGAAAAAAAGGTCACTGATATGAAGGAAGGGGAGTTCTTGGCTCATTTGTATTTTCCAGTATTTTCTGATAATATTGTCTTATCTGTTTTGAAAAGCAATAGTAAATTTGATAATACACTAGAAGTCTATAAAGCCTTACGGTTTTAATGCTAACATAATCTTGTTTTAAAGAGATTATAGCTTTATATTATTTAAAGCGAAATACCTAATTAAAATACAGTTTTACCACCTAATTTTGCAAACACTGTATGTGCTTAAGTTTGAACAAATATGGTCAGTGGTGGTATTCATGTGAGTGAAATTCTGTATTTGCTTATTGGTAAGACAAGCATGCTATTGTTTAAATGTTGTGGTTTTTGTCACTTTTTATTATTAGTATGAGCACTTACGAGGCAGGAGGAAGCCATCCAGACCTACAGCATCCATAATTTCTTTCATTATGGAACTTACTGTATAGCTACAATTGTGCTTGTTCTGGAAGCTGTGTGCAAAGGCTCAAACCCATGTAAAACCAGTATTATTTGCAGAATAAACAATCCTTTTATTTCAATTACGTCACCCTATTCATAGTTTAGAAATACGATCTGATACTGTGGTAGAGCTGCTGTTATTTTGTATGTGCTGTCTATCTTCAGGCAGCTGCAGAGACCGCGTATGACATGGTGTCTCCAGGGCCAACTTTCATTGAATCCAAAAAGGTCAAACGATTCCCGCGACACCGTTTAGCTCATCAGCCAGTAGACCTGCGGGAAGGTGTGGCCAAAGCATATAGTGTAGTAAAAGAGGTGAGTGGAAATACCTAATAAACTAATAAGTGTTCCGTCATATCTCCTAAGAAAGCAAATAAAATATCAAGCGTTAGCCTAAGCTAAGAATTTTTTAGTACCAAATGAAGATGGGTGTAATTTTTAATGACGACTGTCTTTATCAGTAACCTTAAAACAACCGAAAGCTTGCATGGAAAAATCCAAGAAGCAGAAATAAGCCAAGATGTTATGTAGGTAGGAATGAATAGGACTTTGATGTTTTTCAGTAGTAGCATATGGTGCTACCACGTATCCAGAAGTTTAGCAGTATGTGAGTTTACTGTAATTGTGAGGTATTTGTTTGACTTTTTAGTTACTGCTATATTTTGAGGTTGTTAGAGCTTAAGTGTAATTCTAATGTAAAACAAGTGAAAGCTGTGTCTTTATCTTGAAAGTGTATTAAAAGAATGTTAACTTGTGTGTGTATTGTACATTCAGTATTTTTAGTTAGCTGCTTCTAGGGAGTTAGATCTCAGCAGGGGAGCCTTCAGTGAACTTCACTGAACTCGCAGCTTTTTCTCTTGCTCAGAAAGACTGCTGCCAGAAGTTACATGAAGTATTTTTTTTGTAAATTCATGAAAGTGTTATCCTAGTCTTCCCTAGGAGTACTGATTTAGATTTATCCAATTACACTTGTACATTTCGGATACAAATCACAGGTTATTACTGCAGAGCAGTTTAAGTCGTCATTTAAGGAGAGGTTGTTTTTGCTTTTTCTGTGTGACTAATTTCTGTTAATTTTTCAAAGGGGATTACGGACACAGCCCATACCATCTATGAAACTGCTGCTCGTGAGCATGAAAACAGAGGGGTAACTGGTGCCGTAGGAGGAGTCCTCCGCCAGATTCCACCAACTGTGGTGAAGCCTTTTATTGTTGCAACAGAGGCAACCTCAAATGTTTTAGGTGGAATGAGAAACCAGATCAGGCCAGATGTACGTCAAGAAGAGTCTCAGAAATGGCGCCTTGGGGAAGACTGACGTTATAGATGTGACTCAGCAGGCAGGTAGCAAGGCTGGAAGTGCAGAAGGTCATGTCCTGTTGGCAGCTTTTGATGGAGCTCACTTTGTTTTGTTATGCTCATCTCAGGAACAAACAAGGTTTTCAACTACTTAATAGCAAAACATCCAACCAAAAATATTTATGAAGTGAAAAGCAAATTGGTACTTGCTTCTGCTGTGTGTTACCAATACATTTGGTAGATAGTGCCAAACATAGCAAAGCATGCGCTGCCAACTCAGAGACATGCTTGCTCCGTTCCATTTACCATATTTTCATGGTAGAGTTAACATCTGAAGCAGTAGCCTGTATGGTGAAATTAAGTATAATTTAAAAGAGATTTTTTTCAGCATAGTTAAAAGAACTGCCTTTAATAAAGGGTTTTATAGGAGCTCTTCACTGACAAAACCAGAAAAGCTTTCATTTTGGACATGAGCTAGAGGACTATGTAATACAAAAGCAGATAATATGGTTTAGCGGTCATAAGCGTTGCTTTTAGTGTGGCATTTACAATGAGGGCAAGCTTGATAACCATGCGGAATTTAGATCCAGTGTTGAATCATCTATGAACAGAATTTGTTCCTAAATATCAAATTCCTGCTCCTGTGGGTCTCTGAAGAACCTGAATGTTGCAGAAATGTTCTGTTGTGTTGCACTTTAAAGGATATGGCCTGTATATTGTGCTTTTTTTATATTGTGAATAAAATGTAATGTGCATTATCCTTTATGTGGTTTAGAAGTTTACACAAATTACTGAAAGAAGCATCATTTGATGAAGATTTTACAAAAGGAAGAAAAAAATTCATTTAAATTGGTCATTAGATGTAAAAACACTTTTCAGTTACACTGATTACTATGCTGAAAACTACTGTTCCTCAGAAAATTACCAGTTACCTACTAATGTAGCCAAAATTTCTTTCTAAGAATGAGGAATTCTAAGTGAAGTAAAAAAAATTGTTTCATAATTTCATAGGTAGAAGTCTTATAAAGACTATATTTTAATAATCTGCTTTTATTTAAAGATCATCTTGTTGCAAAGTGTTGCTCATGCTGCTATCACAACATAAACTATTTGTGATTTAAATTTTGTACTGTCAGACCATGAGTATTTGGGGTCACTTTAATTTGGGATGGAGATGGATGAGAGGATGTAAAAAGAAAAAGAAAAAAAAAAAAAAAACCTCCTCAAAACAAAGCTGATACTGACATGATTTTCAGTGAACTTTGTGACCAGGATCTCTTCAGAGCCTTATTAAGCAAATGACACTACACAGTTTATGGGCAATGAAATGTACTAGCTATACCAGGAGTTACTTTATTCTTAAACTTTATTTCTTTGTACCAGCAAAATCTGGAGGACAAAAATTAAGGGGCTGTTCTGTAGGGTTTTTTTTTTCCTATTTGTTTTGAATCAGAACACCTTAAAGAGTTTTGGTGACTGGCTGAAGCATCAGTTTGCACTACTCCTGTGCTTGTCCCTTCAAATATGCTATGTCCGGATCTGCAGAGGGACACTGGATACTTTTAATCTGACTTAAATCTCCAGGGATCATAAGGAGGCAGGGTTTTTATTTACATACCTGCTGGTAGCAGAAGCTTCACTGACTGGTATTACAGGACAAACAGGAGCACGTGGAGACAGAGTTACTGCCTGCTCATCCTGATATTGTAGTAGCTATTCCTGGACACCACAGAATCTAGCTCGAGGGTAACTGAAGGCTTTGAAAGTATTCCCTCTGCTGTGGTCCAATTTGTTATGTTTCATAAAACAAAATTCCAATTTTACAAACAAGTCCTTGTATTAGTGGCACCTGGCCCTACAAGGTTTATTTTCATTCCCTGAAATCTTCTTAGTTGTGGTATATTAAAGAACTGCCTAGCTCAGTTAAGCATAGTGTTATAGGCAGAAAGAGGGGTCATTTGGAGAACAAACACCTGCAGATTTAGTAAAATGAAATACATTCTGATTTAACACTGTTTTCTGCAGCTCACACTTTCCTCCAGTAATTATTTCTTAATGTTAAGAGAGACAAAAGATGAGCATTTCAGACATTTCAGGAGTGAGCTCCAGGTTTGTAACTTGGCACTTCCTGAATGCCTTGTCAAGAAGGGGCGATGAGCTGACCCAAGTGAGTAGTCACGCGTCATTTCCATTTGCCGCACGCGCTGCATCATTTCGGCTGGCCCAGTTTGTCCAGTTACTGGAGTATGTTGTAGTAGCATAAATCTGCCTATTTAATTCCTATATAAATCTTTTTTGGCACCACTGAAAAGAAGGGGCAGTTCAGTGTTCATCTTGTTTTGTCATGATCTGATTGTACAGCAATGCTGGTAGAAAAATATTTTTGTATGAAGGCATGTTGTCAAGGTAAAACATTTTTGTAGACTTGTCTCTTGGAGTCAACAAGCAAATCGTACAATTCATTAAACTTCACTTTTCACTATTTAAATCCTTGCATCTACTTCTTGCACTTTATTGAATCTGTTCAGTGAAACCGACTTTAATTTTTTTTTCCTAACATTTTATTCCTAGAAGCAGTTTCTTAATTTTTTGGACTTAATTTTACATTGCTTTTTCTGGTGTAGCATCAGCTTGCGCTGTTTGAAAAGGTTTTTGTTTTTGAAAAAAGAAGAAAACTTTTACATTAGGACCTTGCTTTTAAGTGTCACTTATAGAATAGCTTGTCTTAAATCAAGAAGTAGATATGGTATATGACATGAGGATTCATCAAATTGTCTGCTCAATATTGTAAGAGTTTTGAGGTACTTAACAAAATAGCCAGAATGAGGTTTGACTCTGGACATATTTGTGATGACTTCAAATATATCTGTTGAAGAAGCCTACCGATACACTGCTTTAGGTCCCTTTTAGCATGAGATCTGTGAAATGATTATTGAACTTGAGTTTTCCACTGAAATCAACTGTTACAGGTATTAGAACTTTTAATAATTTGTGTGTGTGTAAACAGGCACAGTCCATGTTTACCATGCTAATTCTGTAGTGTTGAATTGACCAATGCTGCTACTTCTGCTACTTCTTAGCCTGATAACTCTCCAGATAGACGGCCCCAGCACTGTCATCCAGCATTTTCTTAAGCATTATGAAGCTGCAGATATTATAGTGACGAGTGCCCTGGAAGTACCTGAAAGAAGACAGTCATATCTTAAAACCAAAACAAAAAAGCCCCCCTTCAGAAAAATCTCACTGGTGACTGAGAGCAACAAATCATCACTTCCATTCAAAGGCAGCTTCCATTTTCTTTCAAATAGCTGTTGACAGCTCCTAAATACCATAACTTCTTAGCAACGCAGTGTATTCTGCATTTGCCTGATGATTAGCTTTAGGTCAGTCACCAGTGGGTTTGTACATGCTTAATGGATGTGTCTCTTTTGGTTTATTTTCTCATTAAATGGCTAGTTGCCATTATCCACTGCTAACTTTCACTTACAGTTGTTCAAAGTAGTTGCCAAGAAGGGTTTAACAGCTTTTTTTATTTTATGATGAAGAAGCAAAATTCCATTTTTACTGAACATGATCCATATACCTGCAAATGTGATTAATTATGCTTGGAAGTGTACATATTTGTACAACAGTGAAATCCAGCAGTCATTGTAGAATAGTTGCATACTTTTAAATATCTGAAATCTCACAGCAATATAAGCGTTTTCAGAAAAGATGTGGGCGTTTAACTCAGTTTGGATCCATGTTGCACATAGTCTCCAGGCCTCATGTTTTAAGCTTATGACAACTGTTTTAAGTTGCTCTACATGCTGAATCTTGTTTACAATAAATAAAAAATACATTAAAAATTAAGTATCTAAATACTAATCGTGCATTTATACTGGGTTTCTTAAAAGTAGGGTAGCTCAAATGGAAGAACAGCTCTTTGTGTACATGTTTGTGTAAATTTTTTACATTTTTGCAGTTCAAGTAGTTTTGTGGTATTGTTTGTACATAGTTTGCCAGTGTAAAGACTATAATCTTATGAGACAATAGAAACCACTGTTGAAGGGAATTGACTATTTCAACTTGAGTTATTTTGCTTACAATTCTTGTCCCCTCAATATGTGCTTGAGAATTATTTTTAGACCATAATTTATATGGCACCAAATATGTATATTTTAGCTTATTACAGTGCTGAAAGGCTTCAATGCAAGTAAGGTTGTCCTGTTAAACATGTTTAATGGAAAAAAACCTGCAAATTTGTAACAATACATGAATAAATACCTTAATCCATTCCTTGAGTCGATTTTCTCTACCTCAGAATACTAGTCCAGATAACACCCTCTCAAAATAGCAGAAGTTACTGTTAAAGCAAGGTCGATATTTGAAAGAAACAAAAGTAGAAAGACTCGTGTGAAGTAGAAAAAAAACCAAATGTGTCTGTAATAACCTATGCATACATAAATATTACAGGCCACATGATGCTTATCAAACTATTCTGACAAATAGCAGCCCCTCCATTTAAGATGGAAGTGACTTATCCTGTACTTTTTTTTTAAAATGGAGAAAGATCTTTTTAGTAAGACTTGATGTGAATTAACTTTCGGTTACATTGTACGGGTTTTAAAACTCTTAATTTTATCTTTGTTGACTGAAGTTCTGTATTAGCAGAATGACAGAGGATGAAGTTGTTTTTTTGTTTTGTTTTCCTCCTGTGTTTGAGCAAGGTAAATAAGTTTATTCTCCACTTTTCTAAACACTGTTTTTAAAAAGTGATCAAGGATGTTTTAACATATTCTGAGAGAAAATATGCACCACAGATGAGAAATAGGGAACTGCTAGAAATCGGTTACTGATCATCACAAAGCATGAAAAACTAGAAGTCGCTTCGCGTGCTCGGGATGCTTCATTTTGTAGATTGGAAGTGATGAGCTTACAGATTCCTCTGCTTTGCAGTCTGTGCTTCACAGGCTTTTGGGTCTCAACTGTCACTTTTGAGAAAGTGATTCTGTAAAAGCTACTCCTAAGTGTTTCTGATTTATTATTATTATTATTATTATTATTACTTTTAGTCTACCATAATTCAAGCTTGTGTTCTACCCTAGGTTCCCCCACACTGTCAGAATACCAGGCCTCATTTTGTTCAAGTGAGCTCTAGGGCGATCATACATGATGGAATTAGCTGGAATTGCAACCCAAGGAAAATGTCAAAGGCGATCTATTTCCCTTCTTGATACCAAGGCAGGTTCCTGATGTCTCCAGGTTAGTCCTGAGAGCAGATTCCTGGCTGGTGACACTGTGACTAACAGAGTTTACGGGAAGCCACCAGTACGACATCAACCCGGAGCAACATTCGCTGGTTCCCAAAACTCCCATTCCTAACCGAGAATGACTCCAGCTGAAGTGTGTCTTTTCTCTATAATCATAGCACTTGTTTTCCTGTTTTGTAATAAC